CCGGTACCCGCCCCGGGCTGGGAGCGGAGTGCGGGTACCGGGGCCGTGCATGAACCAACCTGTCACGCCCACAGTACGCGTACTTCAGGATGGGGGTCCAGCAGAAGGAGATGGTGAAGGCACGGCTTTTCCAAATGCCCTTTGCTGAGTTGAGGAACCGGCACATCTTCCTGGAGCGCCGGGGGCTCTACCAGACGCCGCACAAAGGCCAGACCCAAACCGGCAACCCAAAACTGAAGGACATCCTTCAGCTCCCGGAGAAAGACTTTCTGGCCAGCCTGGCCTGCTCCACCCCAGAGGAGTACAAGGTCTTCCAGAAGCTGCTGGCTCGAGAGGAGGAGGAAGAGGAGAAGGAGGAGGAAGAGGAGGACAGGGATGCACTATATGCAGAGGAAGATGAAGACTTGGACAGTGAAGGATGTACAACAGCCCGGGAGTGAGGAGGTGAGGCCTCAGAGTGCCTGAGCTCTCCCATGCTGGTGCGCTCCCCAGCCCCACTGCACTCGTGGGTGCTCTGGGCCCCCACCCTGCACAGACACAAGCTGTGGTGGCTGCAGGACTCCAGGTGCGGGGCCCTGCTGAGGGGCAGCAATAAATCCCATCTGTCAGAATACAACAGTATCACCCTTGTTCCTCCTCATTGACTACTTAAAAAAAATATCCAGTTTCCATAAAGTGTTTTTATTTAAAAAAAAAAAGGAAATAACTAATTTATTTCTAAGGCTAGGTTAAAACCTTCTGGTTGCATTACATGTTGTGCTGGCTGCGGGGCAGGAGGCAGCAGGCTGCTGTGCCAGCTCCCAGTGGAGCCATGCTTCCCGCCACTGCGGGGCCAGGCCCTGTGGCCGTGCTGGCTGGGTTGAAACACGACTGTCCCATGGTGGGGCCATGTCCACCCTCACAGCCCATCGGCTCTGGTCTCATGGCTGGTGCAAGGCTTTCTGACCATGGCCCCAAACCCTCCCCTCCCTCATGAATAGCAGAGGCTGTTCTGGGTGTCCCCTTGTCCTGCTCTTCCAGGCAAGGGCTGGCTTCTCGTCCCCTGGGGAGGCTGGACTCCTGTGCTTGCCTTGTGGCAGCAGGCTGGAGCAGGAAGAGGCAGCCTTGGAGGAAACGAAATCTCCAGCTTCTCTGGGAGCAGAGCCAATGCCTGTGCTGGAAGGGAGCATCACAGTGGCCAGCTGGTTGTGGCTTTGAATCATTGCTGTTTCTCACTGCTAGATTGCCTCAGGAGCCACTACTCCGGCCGAGCACTCTGACGCTACTCCCGGGAGGGAGAGGGTAGTGCCAGGAGTGCTGAAACTCCTGGGCCTGTTCTGCTCCAAGAGCATCTCCTGGGCTGCAGGTTGCCACGCATGGCTGAACAAAGCACCCTACAGTGCTCATGGGAGGAAAGGGCTGGCCCCCCAGGATGCCCCTCCATGCTGCTGAGGAAATAACACTCTATACCATAACTACGATATATCTCTGGTAGGTATTAATTTATAATATACACTGTGTATATTAATACACAAATCTATGTTTAACTAGTGTTGTCGTACAAACTCACAAAAACTAGGAAAGTTTCTAAGCTATGCTTCTTCCTTGCCTGCCCTGCCAGTCAGTGGGGCAGCCACTGCATACTGGTCCTCTCCACAAACACCGCAGCGCCGGCCACTCTGCCCCGGGTGCTGCTATGGGGAACGTGAATGCTGCAAGTGGCTCAGGGGGATGCACACAGAGCTCGCTTCATCACCGAGCCCATGCTGTGCTCTGCGCTGGCTTGGAGGCGGTTGGTGTCAGAACAAGTGTGGTGTTACGCCTCAGCTGATAAACTTCACCCTCAAACTCACTTTTAGAAGGCCACCTAGGTGCTTGAGTGCTCTCTGAGCAGGAAGGGTGGTTAAACCCAGGGATTGTTTACAAGGCAAAGAAAAAAGGCAGGCAGTAGAAGCTGCCTCAGTTTCCCCACAAGAGCAGAGGAGACAGCGACACACCTCCACTGCCTGCACTCGCCTGGCTGCTTGGGGGAACTGCTCACCACTTCTAACTCATCTACACAGGGAAGGTCTCCTCCAACCAGATTTGTGTGGGCCACATTTCAGGTGATAGCTAAGGTTGTTTTGATCTGCATTGAACTGTTTTATTTGGGGGGTTGTAGGTAATTTATAACCTTGGATTACAAAAACAGGTTGATGCAGATGCTGTTGGCAGGGAGCTGGTCTCAGCCCCACCGATGCCTGAGCAGAGCCGGAAGCCTGTCGCTCATGCAGAGCAGCTGGGGGAGGGGGCTGAGCAGGGCTGGTCCCCTCGGGGGGCAGCCAGCCAGCCACTGTGGTAGACTGGCGCTCAGCTCCTCAGGGGCAGAGAGGTGGCTGGAGTAAGGCAAGCCAGAGCAAGGGCAGTGCTAGGCTGGCAGAGGAAAGGGAGCGCCGCTCAGAGTGCTGATCCGGCTGCCTGTCCCTAACGGGCTAGAGGAGAGGGAGAGGCTGACACCAGACAGGAAGGTTCCCCCGCTGTGTTCAACCCAGTGAGCAGATCTGATCTTCCTGGTGTTTCAAAAGCCCTTAGATGTGGAAAGATGAAGCTTCTACTGCTTTGAACCCTGTGAAGGAACAGGAGAAAAATGAGCTGGTGTCTGAAGGCCCCCAAAAGGCCCACAGCTGCCTCTTCCCACCCTGTGTGCTCGTCTCAGGCTGGAAGAAGGGGACCTGCCCCCTCCAGGGCTCCAGCTCTTGCCTGGCACAGGCAGGCAGCACCCAGGCCCTTTCTGTGCAGGCCTCTCTTGTTCATGGGGCTGCAGACCTGTGGCAAAGCAGAGCATTGCCTTCTGCTCCTCCACCCCAGCCACAACCAGGAGACCTCAGCTGCTTGCCCAAGCCCGACCACCAGCTGGAAAGCCCTTGCGTGCCCTTGACACCGCAGCATGAGCCCAGGCTGTGCTCTGGTGTGCACAGCCACAGGCAGGAGGCTGTCCCTGCCCACAGCAAAGGAGGGCCTGGAGCAGGTACTTACTCTATGGCTTCTTCAATGTATGACTGGTACTTGGTTTTCTGAAAGAGAAGGGAAGAGAGCACCATCAGCCCTGCAGCCCCCCAACCGTCGCTCGCAGGGAGGGCACGCAGAGCTGGTCTCTGAGCCTTAGGCGTGTGCTCCTTGCACTCCGTTCTGCACAGGGTGCCTGCACCCCTCTCCCAGTCCATGCCCAGTCCAGGCACCCGAGCGCATGCTGGGCGACACCAGCTGTCTGCATCCTCCTGTCCTGGGCCATAAGAAGGCTGGCGCACTCGGGGTGCTGCCGAGTACAGACCTGCTGGTGGTCGTCTCAGAACCGGTGCTCTCGCATCTCTCCTTGTAGCAGACGTCCTGGTGTACCTTGTAGACTCTCCTGTACCTGCGCACACAGCAGAGGGCCGATTTGTAGGGAATAACAGGGACAGATCTGCTCTTATGAGTGCGAGGGGAGAGTCTGTGGGTGCTCTCCCAGCCTGTGGCAGCCGTCCTTGGCAGGAACAGGGCTGAGCCTGCTACGCCTGAGGGCTGACCCCCCACAGCCAGGCCCTTGTGCCTCCATCGAAGGAAGGCTCAGGGGGGTGCAGAGCAGAAGCCCTCATGGCCCCAGCCCTCTGCTTGCAGGTGGGGAGGCAGCTAGGAGCTGGGCAGGTAGGCAGCAGGCAAGGAAGCCACTGCTGCTTGGGCGATCACGCACACAAAGTCCAACCTCGCTGGTAACACTGGTACGGGGCTGTCATTTCAGCAACACCCTGCCCTGAAACGCAGCTGGCGGAGCAGCCCTGGGGGCTCAAGGGCACATGAGGCTGCTCAGCCTGCACTGGGGAGGGGGCAGCTGCCAGCTGGGGTCTGAAATGGCCTTGTGCTCACTCTCCCTTGCCTGGAGCTAAGCTATGAGGAGACATCCCTGGCTCTGAGTGCAAGGGGCAGAGGGGAGCACAACCTGCAGGCAGTACTCACAGGTAGTGGCAGGTGCCTCCTTCCCACACGGGGAATGACTTGGTTTCCGAGTACAGCCGCGTGCACGAGTGTGGCACCTTCTTGCAGGCTGCTTGGGGAACAGGAGAGGGGAGCTATCAACAAGCCCATCTCTGGCCCTGCCTGCTTGTGTCCCGTGGCAAGGGGCCAGTGAGGCCTCCCTGGCTTCCCCTCTGCTGTCCTGGAGGACTGGGCTCAACTGAGCTGACCCTCCAGGACAAGCAAAGCCTCCAGCTTTGCAGTGCCTGGATAACTAGATGGGCAGGGCAGGAGCCTGGCGGAGGGCTTGGCCAGAAGCGGGGAGCGGACCCACGCTCCCAAATCTGGCTGAACTGGCAAGAGCAGAGCCCAGCCCCTCTCTCTGCTGTCAGCACCGCCATCTCTAGCAGAGCATGGGCATGGTGGGAGGCCCCTCAGGCAGGAAGAGCTGGGTGCTTGACACGGTGTGCTCGGTGACCTGTGCCCTGGGGGGACTGGTGGCTAGGACAGCTGCCAGGCTGGGCACATGCTGTCCGCCTGCAGGAGGGAGCTTGGCCCTCCAGCAGCAGCGTGGCCCTCACCCAGCTCGCAGAGGCGGCCCTTGAATCCCGGGCGGCAGTTGCAGTGGTAGGACTGCGCATTCCTGGCGCAGGTGCCTCCATTCCTGCAGGGGTTCATGGAGCAGTTCTGCCCCTCGCCTGCAAAACACATAGAGGCTGTCAGACCCCGGGGGCACAACGCAGCCCTGCCCACCCATCTGGTGTGCCAGGGTGCTCCCAGGGAGACCTGCGAGTAGGTGAGCAGGGATGCGGTGGGCAGCAGGGCCCCAGGCTGTGCCTCTTGTGTGCCTGCTGGCCGGGTACCTGCTGCTTATGTGTCTCCCATCTAGACTTACTCTTGCTCTTTGCCTCATGCAACTGCAGTGCCAGACTGCCCTGGCTGGACACCTCCACGTTCTCCAGCTTCACTGAAGCCTCTGGCTCTGGGCAACAAGAGGGTCAAATGTCACCTCCAGCCAGGGCCAGACCCAAAGGCAGCCCCTCCAACAGGATCCAGCCTGCCCACAGCATCTGGGGACTGGCCAGGCTCAAGGCAGTGGTTTAGCCCTTCCCAGCTGGCACCCCAAGAATCAGGGTGACTGCCTTGCTGTTCCAGGAGGGCTGTGCGACATGGAGCCTTGGGGAGGCAGGGGCAGAGCCAAGATGTGCAGCAAGCCCAGAGCTGCTGTCAGGTGTGCCAAGCCCCTTCCCCATGCCATGGCAAGAGGTTCCCAGCCCTGGTAGACTATCTTGGGCTGGCACTTCTATCCCTGGTGTTCCAGGGATGGCAGACGGATGGCTGGTCCTGGGCTAGTGAGGGGCTTCTTGCCCAGGCACCCTCCTCAAGTGCGAGGCTGTGCTTGGCAGTGGGGGCTATGGTCCGCTGGGCAGGCAGGGGCTATGCTGGAGGGTTGTGGGGCGACTGCCGGGGCCCCTGCTGCGGCTGGCAGGGTAGGCAGCCAGCCTGTGTCACAGCCAGCATTACCTCCCATCAGCGAGGGTCCCCCTCTGGGCTCCCCGACTGGCTGTGCTTCACCCCTCCCTGGGCAGGGCGTCTAACAAGCAGAGCAGCTATTTGTCTGCCCAGGAAGAGGCAAGGGCTCTGCCCTCCTCTATGGCTCCCCCAGGCCTACATCAGCCTGCCTGGCTGCCACCCTGTCCCAGGGGGAGGTGTAGGAGATGGCACTAGGTGACAGGAGGGGGCCAGAAAGGCAGCAGAGCACTTACGTGCGCTCACGGTGATGGATTTGCCCAGCGCAGTGCTGAACCTGGCACTGATCCTCCCTCTGCCATCCACCAGCTCTGTGAACCTAGGACAGAAGAGACATGAGGGTGCAAGGCACTGCAGGTCCCCCAGGCCACAGCTGTCTCACGCGCTAGGGCTGGAGGCAGCGAGATAAAGCACTCGCTGGTGGCATCAGGCTCAGTGTGAGTCCTGTGGGCTCAGCTGTGGGCAGCATGGGTGACCTCCTCACAGGGCAAGGCCCTGCCTGGCTCAAGACACCACTTGGGTGAGCAAGAGGTGCAACCCAACAGGACCATGGCTTGACCCTGTGCACACCCAGACAGGGGAGCTGGGAAAAGGGGCTGAGTGCTGGCAGAAGAACCAGGAGTGCTGGAGCAGTGCCTACCTGGGGGCTGGCGAGGGCTCCTCAGCTGTGTCATGATCTGCTAGCAAGCGGAGCTCAGGCAGGAAAGCTGGGGGCAGCCTGTTGCGCAGGACCCGGGGATGTCCAGCTTGGCTCCACCGTCTCTCCGGAGCCCCATCCCTCTGCACTGCAGACCAAAGGGTTAGGCTTAGCAGGAGACAAGCTGTGAGTTAGCACAGCAACCTGACTCCCAGTCAGTCCCCTTGTCCCAGGCTGCCATTTAAGGCTGTCTGGGAAAACGTGCACACTCTCCATGTGCCTGGGCTCTGAGTGCCAGTCCCTATGAAGCATCACCGAGCTGTAACTCTGCATCTGCCCTCCGGTAACAAAGGCAGCACCCTGCAACCCACAACCTCCCTTTGCAGGGGATTTGTGTCATGTCCCTACAACCTGCTGTGGGCACCTGGTTCTGGGGCAGCAACCCCCCACGGGCCTGTCTTACTCTGTTGGTCAACTTGTTTCCTACCCCCTGCCCTGCTTCCCTGTTAGCCCATCGCCTCCCTTGTGCTGCAGCAAACTGGCAGCACCCCAGCCCCAGCAAGCCAGGCACTCACAGGTGGTGACGTAGAGGTGGATGGGCTCGCTGTGCACTTGGCCTTGCTCTGTGTTCTGCACAGCTGTCACGGACAGGCGGTATCGCTGCCCAGGGAGCAGGTCCCGCACTGTGTAGGACACAAGCTTCCCGTTGGGCACGTAGCGACTCTTCACACTCTGAGCGGTGGTGACATTGATGATGTACCCCTCCACGGTGCCGGCGGGTGGCTGCTCCCACACCATGGACACTGAAGTGGCGCTGACACGAAAGGTGGTAAGATTTTGTGGGGGGAGAGGCCCTGGGGCAGGTAGGAGGTGGGGAGAAAAGGGGTCAGCGCTGGTGTCCTTGAATGGCAACAGCCCTACTTGCTCACACACCACCTTACAAGCATGCCAGGGCACCAGCTTGCCTGGCCGTGCTCTGGCCAACCCTCAGCCCAGCTCTAGCTGTGCAATGCACCGGGAGGAGATACCCCGTGTGGGGTCCCCACCAAGGCAGGCAGAGCCTCACTGCAACCCTGGCACCCAGGTCCTCCAGCTGCCGTACAGCATGGGATGAATCAGGCCTGCGCAAGCTCCCCATGGGGCTGAGCTCACGCTGGTCTTGGGCACTGAACAACATCTGGCAGGGGAGGACGTGCGCTGCCTTGCCTGCCCTTCCTGAGGGCTGTCTGCGTGCCTCCTATCCGCCACGCTGGCCAGACAGGCTGATGGCTTTTGCACCTTCCCCCCCCTGCAGCTTTCCTGCTGGCCATGCCCCAGGGCTGCCCCGTGCCTGCCAAGCCCCAGGGCCCCCTGCAGAAACAGGAGGGGGGGAAGGCAACCCCACTCACTCGTCCACACGTGGAAGGGGGCTGTGGCCAGACTCTCCGAGGGGTGGTCTTCTGTCCCCAAGCCACTCAGCGTTGTGACATGGATGACGTACCTCTCTCCTGCCTGCAGGTCCCTGTGGAGAAGGCAGGGTGGGAAGGGGTAAGCTGGGCAGCCCAGGAGGGCCAGCTGGCCTGGCGCCCACCTGCCACCCCACTCACAGGAAGGTGTACTTGGCCACACTGCTGTTCAGCTCCACGGTGCGGTCTGCCAGGTCCCCCGGCTGGCAGATGGAGACACGCACCCTACTGACGGTGGAGTGCTTGAGCTGGTGGAGAGCCCATTGCACCGTGATGGTGCTGGCTGTCACATTCGTGATCTCAAAGCCTTCCACCGGACGCGGTCCTGGCCGGAGCAAGTGGAGAGGGCTGTGGTCAACCACTGGTCACTGCGAGTCGCCCCATCCCTTCCTCATGCTCCCGCCAAGGCAGGGGGTCCTGCCTGCCCCTCTGGATTGACTTCCCCAGTGGGAGCAGCTCAGTGCCACCTGCCCTGCTGGACTCGTGCTCTCTTGTTCTCACCAACTGAAGGCAGGCGGGAGACACACCTGTCTGTGTGCCCATGAGGCCTCGTGCCATCCGTGGCACCCCTGGGACTGTCTCCTCTGGTCCCAGCTCCCTGCCACCAGCTCTAAAGGGGCCACCATGTCTGGGCCTGGCTCTAAGGCCACTGCACACCCCAGACAGCCATCCTGAGCCTGGTTCTCACTGCCCCCGGCATCTGGCCCTGGCTCAAGGCCTCCCAAGATGCTGTGGCCAGGGGCACAGACCCTTGCTCTGCCCAGCACCACGCCTGCCTTCCCCTCCCCTGGGCTTCACTTGGTCTCAGGCCGCTGGGGGAGATGTGGCCTGCAGGCTTTCCTGCCACCATCCCCATCTCATTAGAGGGCAGCTTTTCTAGGTCTAATCCTCTCCATCCTCAGCATGCACGTGATTTCTACATCTGTCCACCCTAGAAAGTGGGACCGCTGCCCTCAAAGAGACATCACCGTGCCCCCTTCCCTCTGCCCGCAGAGTGGAGGCCCCTGATGGCCTCTGCCCTCTTCAGGCTTGTCCCCACGCCAAGTCTGGCGGGATGTCAGGGTGACTCGCCCACGGTGTTCGTCGTCAACAGATTACCCAGCCCTGCTGGCGTGGGGGCCTTCTCCAGCTCAGCCAAGCAGCACTGGGGACCTGCCCTACCCTGGGCCCAGTGACAAGGTGTAACTGGTGCAGCAGGCACAGCCTGGCCCTGATGAACAGGATCCGGGAGAAGTCCCCACCCCCGTCTCCCCTACCAGTCGCAGGGACCCAGTGAGCCGCAGGGGGTTCTATCCCCTTTTACTCACAGCAAAGAGAAAAGCAATTCTCTGTGCTGAGCACTTTCCAAAGGGCCCCGGCTGGATTTTAGCATCTGCACCACCAAACCTGCTGCAGTTTGGTACAGGCCTGGGCTGCGGCTGGCACCGGCAGCGGGGAGGAGGCGGTGGCGCAAGCCCTGGCGCCTGCAGGGGCCATGCGTGCTCACAACCGAGGTCCCCAGGGGACACTACTCACTAGTGCGCGTGGTGAGCATGACGGGCCTGCTGATATCATTCTTGTTGTTCACGTTGCGTTTGACTGAAAAGACAGAAATATTGTAGGCTCTGCCGGAGGCTAGTGCCCGCAATTGGTGGGCAGAACGACTTCGGTCCACAAAATCTGTCCTGCGGTAAGAGCCGTCGAGGGATACGTACGTCACGGCGTAGCCGTCAATGAGTTGCCTGGCGGCTGCGTCCTCAGGTGGGTGCCAAGAAATCAACACACCAGTGTCCTCCACCCTTTCCACCTTTAATGAAGTTGGTGGCAGCAATTCTTCAGGGTGTGGGCAAAAGCAAAGGGGAGAGGTAACGCCATGAATCTTTAGAGAACAGACCCCAGCAGCAAGAGGTAGAGCGGCAGCAATGGAGGATGGGGCCCTTGCTTTCTCCC